CTATATTAATAAAATTTGTGTAGATGAATGAGAATTAAAATTTGTCTAGATCTATGTTAATAAAATTTGTGTTAAAGACTCGCTTGAATGATGGCGCTAAGTTACGCCTATTAGATTCCTATGACTCATGCGAGGCGCTTATAAGTGATATGCGGAACCACCTTTTAACAAAGAAATCTTGCACTTCCATTCATAACGAACTAATGCAAATAAGGCAAAATGGTAGTTCCCTAGATAATTATGGCAATAAAATCGAACAATTATTCGTAGATTTGACGATTTTCTAAGCCGATGGTGACCAAAACGCGCATAAAATTTTACGTTCTATAAATGAAAAGATCGCTATTAAAAGTTTCACAAATGGCCTGCGAAATCGACAAACCGTATTATTTTGTCAGCACGTAATTATAGTACGATAAAAGAAACAATTAGAGCTGCAAATGATGAGGAGGCATCTTGTGTTCGACCTAGCGTGTACACCAAACCATCGATTTATTTCGGGAATCGTGGTGGTTCAGGAACGCGTAAAAATTTACGTGGTAGGTATACATCCAATAATGTACCACGGCAAACATACCCTTTGTATACCCAAGCAAAAAATAACGTGAACTGGAGGAAACCGGTACCCCAAAAGTTTTCGCATGGAAATCAACAACACCGCGGAAAAAAGGTAATTATGGTGAGTACTCATACCAGAACCGCGGATTTTTTCGTGGTCAAAATGCCCAGCGAGTTCATTTTATAACCAAAGTTCTCAAAATATTGAAATTAACCCTAATAACGATAATAATGAAAATAACTTAGAATTTTTTCGAGACCAATAGTATATTTAGTTGCGAATATAGTAATCGTGTTGAGTTAGCAATAGATGGTATCAAATGTAGATGGCTCGTAGATACCGGCGCTTCCCTATGTGCGATTAAATATGACACGCTTAGTAAACCAAACATTTCATTACAAAAGAAACCGATTACAATAAACGGAATTGTAGGCAAATTATGAACCGTGGGATTTGTTGATTTAACATTGTCTGTTAAGGGACTGAAATTTAATAATAAGTTTCATGTTATAAAGCACTTGCCGTGTGAAACTTCTGAAATTTTAGGTATAGATTTTTTACGTAAGTTTAATTGTAGCATAAATTTTGAATTGAATAATATTACACTGCATAATATGAATGAATTAGGAAACAGAGTAAATGGGGCCCTGCACTCTATTGTGAAGAGTCAAAATGTGTCAAAAAAGGCACGTATGGCAATTCACAATGCTGTGTTGGTCCCTACTTTAACGTATGGTAGTGAAAGTTGGGTGTGGCAGAAGAAGCACGAGAGTAGAATAAATGCAGTAGAAATGCGGTCGTTAAGGAGTATGTTAGGGCTGAATCTGAATGACAGGGTGAAGAATTGTGTGATAAGAGAAGAGTGTGGTTTGCAAGATGATGTTGTGACCAGGATTAAGAAAGGAATGCTTCGGTGGTTTGGTCATGTGGAAAGAATGGATGAGGAAAGAGTGACAAAGAAAATTTATGTTGCAGAAGTGAATGGCAGAGTCGGAAAGGGACGTCCTAGGCGAAAATTTATCGACCAAATTGGTGATTTATTGAAAACGGGCCAAATTAGGAGTACCCTTAACCGACGAGCATGCATGCGTAGATGTATGGATGTGAAGGAGGCGAGAGAGGTGTGTCAGGATCGTGCCAAATGGAAGTCTGTAGTCTCTGCCTACCCCTCTGGGTGACAGGCGTGAGTGTTTATGTTTTTTATTATGAATGAATTAGTAACTTTACCATTGCATATGGGTATTTTGGGAAATAATAATTATTTGAGTATACCTCCGAGATGCGAGAATTTATTTTATATCAATGCGAGTATGAAAGAAGATTGTGTTGTCTTTCCGAAAGAGTTATGCGAGGGAGTTTTTCTGTCTGGTGGAATTGTCAAAGCGAATAACGGGAAAATACCAATAAAAATATTAAATACACGAGAGGATCAGGTCAATCTTAGTTATTTTAGGCCTGAAACCGATAGTTTACATAATTATTCAATTTGTAAGTTTGATAAAAGTCTCACTAATCCCGAACGCGTTCATAAAATGTTAAATTTACTAAATTTGGATCATTTAAATAAAGAGGAAAAATCTTCTATTATACATATTTGTATAATAGAAGATTTTGTTGTACAAAATTTTCTGAAATCGTTTTACCTCTGAACAATTTATGTCGCAAAAATTTTAAATTTCATTGGAATAAAAACTGTAAACTATCTTTTTCAACGCTTAAAAATGCTTTAATGACTCCTCCCATACTTCAGTATCCAAATTTTGACCAAAATTTTATTTTAAAATCTGACGCATCTAGTTTTGCTATAGGCTCCGTTTTATGTAATTATGACGGACGACCGGTTGCATATGCTAGCCGCACTTTAAACAAAGCCGAGAAAAACTATCATACTATCGAAAAGGAATTCTTATCGATAGTATGAGCAGTAAAATACTTTCGAACTTATTTATATGGACGCGAATTCATTATTGAAACGATCATAAACCTCTCGTATATTTATTCAACATGACAAATCCGTCAAGTAGACTTACGAAGTTTAGGTTATTGCTCGAGGAGTATAAGTTTGTATGTAAGGGGAGCTGACAATGCAGCTGCAGATGCTTTGTCACGCATCCAAATTTCGAGTGAAGATTTGAAAGAAATTAATGAAAAGGTCATATCTGTTCTAACAAGAGCGCAAAGAAAGCGAATAAATAAAAAAAATGCGCAAGATAAGAGTGACAACCCTACGGCGGATAAGGTTACCACCAACGATTGGACTGATCACCCAAAAGTCGTGGGAACACTTAAACAACCGAAGGATTGCACTGAATTATTATTTGTAGACGAAAAAGAATGGAAAAAGATATACAGAGTGAAAGAAAAGTTCTATTCTAACTCTAAGTTATTTTGTTTTGTCTCAGCAAAGTCAATAATTTATGTAAATCCTTCTTTCCGATCATATTGTGCACGAGATGCCTTTGTGAGGGAGTTGGATTGCTTTTGTAATAAGCGAAAGATAGATCGTCATTATACAAAATAATAAGAACAATATATTATTTAAGGAGTTAACTCGTATTATAAATGAGACACCAAATAGGTCCAGACCGCGAATATTAATTTTAAATGGTGTCCATAAAGTCGACGATCGTGAGACAAAACACATAATATTAAACGACTATCATTTATTGCCAACTAGTGGTCACGCCGGTATAAGGCGAATGATAAACAATATAAAGAAAAGATTTTTTGGCCCGGGTTAGAGAAGGATGTGACTAATTATGTAAATCAATGTGAAAAGTGTTTGCGATATAAGCACTTAAATAAGCATATAAAAGAACCAATGGTTATAACCGATACGGGATATTCTGCTTTTGATAGAATTTATTTAGATTTAGTAGGGCCCTTATGTAAAGATAGCGATAGTAATGTTTATATACTCACACTACAGTGTGATTTAAGTAAGTATGTTGAAGGCTATCCGCTTAAACATAAGGATACTATTTCGGTGGCATCGTCTTTTATCAATAATTTTATTTTGAGATATGGTATCCCTCGACAAATAATATCTGACCAAGGGACCTCTGTCGTCTGCGGCGTTGCACCACCAAATCTTCTTTGGCCCGTCTCCTGCTGGCATTGACTTCGGGTACGGACACCCTCCGTTTCCACCTTAGGTAAAATCGGCATGATTTTATCCCACTTCTGACACCAATTGTTACGAGCTTGAGATTCGTGACAATAAAAACTGCCGACTGAATTACTAAAATTTACACTTTTATTACCGAACACCAATTAAAACTTAAAAAAAAACTAATAACTAATCACACTGAATCACTTTATTTCACTCTCGAATTAATGAATTAATGAGTCTAATTTCAGTTTACCACATTAATTATGCTATTACTATTCTTAAGAACGACATCGAATTTTAGTTGTATTATACTTTCAGTTGGTTTGTTGTTCATGATCCATTGCGGAACGATTGAAAGGATATACTTGTTTCAGGGTTAGTATAATCACAAGTGGTAAAATAATTTTTTTACAACCGAATTAAATACAAATAAAACGAGAACATCATCAATGCAGTCGAAGTCATTATTAAGGATAACTCAAAAACCACTGGTCACATCTTCATCAAATATATGTGACCATATGAAAAGCACCAGCTTTTAAACAAATAAAATAATCATCAAAATTGGTTCACCTAGAGAAAGTTCTGAAGTAACTCACATAAAAAAAAACAGTTGAATTGAAAAAATCCCACTTTTTGAAGTCGTTTGAAAAAGTAATCACCAAGCATCTTATTCGTCTCAAGATTTAATTAAATTTATTACAATAAGGTAGGTAACTTGAATAATCATTATAGTAATTTCGTTGATAAAAATCTCGAAGTGGTCATTTTTCTTTTATTTGAAGTTTCATCTTTTAGTAATATGGTATAATAAGTAGTATATCTCAAAAATGTAAAGAAAAACAAAAGGAATAAACTCAAAATCGATATCCTTAACGGCTTGCTTCATATAAAACTGGAAGTATTCGGATTCCAACAGTGCCATATCTTTATATGGTATAATGATACTTGACATGGTATAATGATATTATATTGCTGTTTATTATAACTATGTGCCCTAAATGCAGGAATTTTGAAATTTTCTTAGGTATATTTATGGACTTCCTAAAAAAATTAGGGTAAAACCAAATCGTAAATGAAAACATTGAATCATAGGTCGTCGTAAGTTATCTCTTTTTCACTTCAGCTTCAGTTAGTGTTGAATTTGAATATTACTCTGTGGTTCGTCTTCGTCTAGTCGGGACGGGTCGTCACTGCAGTTTATCAAATTACACAAATAATCAATTCGTGTATTCTAACTTTGTGAGGGGCGACCCGATTCCTTACCCGACCGGAGTACTTATTTCCTACTAACAATGTTGCATTTAAAGAACATTGCAAAATCCGTAGTTCCGCCTCTAAAAAGCTCTATTCAAAATGAGGTAGTCAATAACATGCTCAGAATAGCGCCCGGAGCTGTTAATATTTGCTGTCGAACCTACGCAATGCATGAAATTCCAGACAGGCTCAAGGATGTACCAACAAGCGCAAACCCGAGATTTTTTGATATGGTGGAATACTTCTTCCACAGAGCGTGCCAGGTAATTGAGGACAAATTGGTTGAAGACATGAAGTCGAGAGTGTCAATAGAAGAGAAGAAAAAGAAAGTAGCCGGTATATTGAAACTTATGCAGCCATGTGACCATATCTTGGAGATTCAATTTCCCTTAAAACGTGACTCAGGAGATTACGAAATGATTCTTGGGTACCGGGCTCAACATTCTTCACACAGGACCCCGACGAAAGGAGGTAAATATCTTTTTTAATTGCTATAAATTATTGTAAACTGCTTTATTTCAATATGGTAAAATTAAATATACTGTTAGTTTTTGTTAACAGTATTTTTTATTTATAGCCAGGAGACACGTGATGTTAACGACCTTAGGTATCATTACGTAGTTTTTTAACCAAATTTTTTGTGCGCATAACATTTAAACATCTAATAATTGTATCTAAGAAGCTTTGTGCTTATTTCTAGTTCTACTAAACTGCTAATATTATGTGCACTGCGTAATCACAATATCATTTTTATTTTGGATTTATGCATTAATGAGATAAATTAAAGACAAAGATACACTTATGTCCAAATATGTGAACACTACTCAATTTTAAGATGTTAAGTCTATTGCTATCACATTCAAAGTGACTGTGACATCTTAAAATTGAGTAGCATTTGATTTGAGTATTTTGCCATAAGAGCAGCGGTAAATACAATTTTCATAATCAACATTTTGTTCTAAGTATTAAATTTTGATTTGATGAAGACATCAAAAGCGAAAAAAATATGTATTTCAACAACACTCCTAATAGAAATTAGGTCCGTCTCGAGTCTGCCACTTTAAGGTTCTTATGGCTTAGGTTCTTATGCCTTAATCATCAGCACAAAATTATTTTAAAGAATAGTCCCTAATTTATTTTATGCCTCCATTTTGAATGAAAATCTCTCTAATTTAATAATCACTTTGACTAACAAGCACACAGTCTACCTGATGGTAAGTATTTGCTGTGGCCCATAGTAATCACAATTTTAGGGTAATCCATTCCTAACAATGTTATAAGAAAAATAATTAAATTTCCACAAATGTTATTCCTGAGAAAGATCCTTTCAGATTTGGAACTTTGATTTTCACTTAAGATGCAGATGATTATCTGTGTTTAAATATTAAGTAAAAATGTAAAAGGTATAAAATTTTACTATAAATTAATGTAATACATAAAGTAATTAAGTAATTGCTATGTGAACATCTCTTGTTAATCTATCTATCTAAAATATTAATATGTTATATAATATTACTACTAATATTACTGGATTGTCAGAAAGTTGATGGATGCAAGTGGCTCAGGACCATGTTTTGTGGCATTCTTTGGAGAAGGCTTATGTTCTTATGAGCTGTAGACTTGTGAAGGGCTGTAATGATGAATGATGATGATGTATATTTAAATAAACTATCAGTGAAATTTATATCATAATGGTATTAGATTTCTGATAATTTCTTTTTAAATTTAGAATGCTGGCACTCCCCTTGTCTCATTTTTTGATGACACCAAGTCATCAGCTGAAAGCCAACCAAGAAGGTCACCAAATGGCAGAAACATTTTTAATACTAAAATACTATCAAAATTTTCACAAAACACTATTATTATTTTGATTTATTGCTTCCACCATAGCCATACTAAATGCTACTGAGTATTAATACTGAAACTGTGCCACAAATCCATCAGCTTCGGCTGTGTGCCTTCATGCCAAACTCTGACAAACACCTGACTAGGATGATCCATGGATGAAGAATTGCAAGCATATCCTCCTGTCACCAGTGATAGTTTTCAACATTCAATGACACAACACTTCTCAGTGGATTAATGTTGCCGGTATAAAAGTTGACAACACTGACTTATGCTAATATTACAATAGATTAAGAGTGCTTTTTACAGGTAGAAGCTAGATTTAAAAGATTTAGATTTAGAAGAAAAGAAAGATTTTAAGTAGTTTCAAATTCACAGAATCTGAAATCTCTACATAATATAAAACAAAGTCCCTTCCAGCTATCTGTACGCACAGATGACCTAATCTCTGTTGGGACTGGTCGCCGTGACCGAAATTCTATCTGCAGGAAATTATTTACTTTATTGTCAATTAAATTGGCGAAATTATCATTCCGCTTTCCTAGTGTTTCATCCTCCAAAACTGTATCAATTTATTTTAAGAACAATGTAAAAAGATTGTGTCTACCTATATCTGTAAGTTTTGTTTTATGTTGTTATATTGGTTTGCTGGTTTAGTCTAATAATCGCGGTATAACTGGGCTGTTTTAGTTAGAAAGTTCTTAATATTTAAAATTATTAATTTATTGATTAAAACTACTTTTAAGGATTTTATCGCGTTTTATTTATATTATTTTTAATACCCGACGTTTCGGGTGCTTTCCAGCACCCATGGTCACGAGGGACTGAGGTGACTGACATCCCAATGTCAAAGTTAACCCGGAGTACCTTCAGCTTTTTAATTATTGTCTTTGGTCCGATCTACAATGGCAAGCACCCGAAACGTCGCGTATTAAAAATAATATAAATAAAACGCGATAAAATCCGTAAAAGTAGTTTTAATCAATGTAAAGAAATCATTATTAATTTATATAAATAAATACAGAACAAGAAGAACAAATATTTATTAGTGTTATTACGAAGGGATTAATGGGAAACATAATGTAAAATTCAACACTATGTTGTTTAACCTAATCCTAATTTCAATTATAATGTTAACTTTATCAAAAATATGAATGCACGTAATATTATGAAGTATAACATTCGAGAGAGTGGCACGAAGAATCGTCGACGACCAATTTATTTTTGATCGGTTTGACTCACTGACGCTGCGAAGGGATGTTGCATCTCTTTGCATTTTCTATCACATCTACAATAGGGAGCGATCACAGTAAATTTCACAATCACACATCACGACAAAGCTCACGATACCATCCATACCATCTAATTATATGTATTATCTAGATGATTGGCAGTCCACCACTGCGCGATTTACCAGAAGTTTTCTTCCTGGCAACACTTCCTTTTGGAATCGTCTATCACCGGCGATTTTTCCGGAACGAGACATAGAGACCTTAAAGAAAAGAGCTTACTCTTTTTTATAAAGGCCGGCAAGTCATCTTCAGTTCCCCTGGTGTCGCAGTTGTTCATGGGCGGCGGTAATCTCTTACCATCGGTGAGCCGCATGCGCGTTTGCCCCCTGTTTGTCTCGGGCTCATTAACGAATAATGACTCGCCGTTGTCACGTATCACAAATCTACATGTCGAAAATACTGGATGATTTTTTTTACCGTCCGGAAAAAATAGAGTGTAACAGCTGAATAGAATAGAAGCCTATGGCACTGATATTATACAATTCATTTGCTTTTACATTAACATATTATGAAATTGAACTATCAATAAATACCACTAATTTGAAATAAACTTTCGGTAATAAAAAAATTAAAACAACAATTTTGAACTAAATGAATAAATCAATTAAAAACTATAAAAAATTATTATACATACATATTACATACATACATACATTAACATAAAATTGAAGTGTAATATCGAAATACTGTCCTTTTATTGATGGGCTTATAAGCATGCGGATAAGATATGATTTTTTTTTAATTTTGTTTGTCTGGGATAATATTCTGAATTGCTGAAGCGATTGTAATAAAACTTTACGAACAGATATATTTCATCCCAAAAACTTGGGAGATTTTTTTTTTGAAAACTGGAAACAAATAATTGAAAATAAATTATCTTTGATCATCATTTTAAATCTAAATTTCACATTAGTAGATTTTATCCAGACGACGTTTTTCAGCTGTGCCCAAACATCCTTTTTTTTCTGAGAGGATTTAAAATAAGTAGGAAGAGCAGTATAAGTAGTTAAAGTACACCACTGTAAAAGAACTCCATATACCCTCGAAGTATATGCAGATGTACTACGATGTTTTCTTTAACGGCAGAGCATGTTAGAAAACGACATATAAAATTGGCATTAATAATTTGAAAAAAAAAATGTTAAAAGAAATGGTCATAGATGATTATTAAAAAAAAAGCAGTAGTATAGCGTAGAATGGCAGCATTATAGTATAGTAGTATTGGAACTAACAGCAACACTACTTGTCGATTAGACATAGAGCAACCTCTCCGCAACACAATATTTTTCAACCGACTTCAAAAAAAGAGGAGGTTCTCAAGATCAAGCTGGTGGTTCTCATGTGGTTCCATATAAATTTGAACAAAATCTAACCATAGTTTTTGCGTTATTCTTAATAATGCGTATTTAATTGACTTCGACTACGTTGACGATGTTTTCATTTTATTTATATTGAAGTGTTGTTCAATTTTTTTTTAATTTTACCACTCGTTCCTTGTACTAGACTAGAAGAATGACTATAACATACAAATTACTACACTGATTAAGACTTGTAAGAATGCTCGAAAGAGTGGGGGTTTCAAAATTTATCAATCTCACTTTTATTTATTTTACCCTTTTATAACAAATACATCACAAATATATCTTAAAATCAATGTTTATTTGTTATCATATACCATTCGTCCTTCATCACGATGGAACTTTGATGAGTTGTGCTCTATCTCGCGAAGGTTTCTAAAAAAAAAACGAGACATTGAACGAAAATAAAACAAGGATGACAATTACAACCAATTCAAATTGTCGCACTTCATTAAATCAATTTGTTAATTCCGTTGACCTTTAGCTTCGTTCTTTCAAATAAATGTGTTGCTTTTTTGAATATTTGCCACTTCTTATTTCATAGTTGTTTACTGTTAAATTATTTTAACGATTTAAATTTATACATATCCGCTAAGCCCATCATCGCTATTGTAAAATACTTTCTACAGCCCTTTAGAAAGCAAAGACTTTCTACAGCCTCTTAGAAAATACGGTCCTTAACCACTTGCTTCCGTCGAACGCATCCCACGAAATCGACAGTACATTCCGTAGACAATTGTCCAACACACTGAAGCTAAATAATAGCATACGCATCCAGTGCCCCGGATTGGACCTCTGAACAGAATGCTATTGCAGCTCCCACGAACCCTGCGCATGAGGGATGCGATTATCTTTCAAACTTGACCATTTGGGTCTTTTAAATAATGACATGAAAGCCGTGCGTAGAATATATTATTTTTTTGACTAATGGTATGAATTCACTTGGTCGAATTGTTGGTAATAATGAGTATAGAGACCGTAGACACTAGATATTTTTTATACATATATACTCACGAGACATGCGTCAACTTTAGGTAAGGTACCTACAGTCGAGTTTCGTCAACAAGAATTTACTTAGCCTAATTAACCTTGCGTTTAGTTAGTGACTGTGATACACATTTCATTACCTAGAATTATCTTTGATATTCATTCATCTTATGAAACTTTTCTAGCCTGTTTATTTTGCATTTTGACCCAGATAAACCTGCAGCGTATTATCGTTGTTATCAAAACTTGTTGCTAAGTCTCTATACAAGGACACATCGTTAAAAATCTTGGTCGTAGTAAATGTTCAGAACGAAACAAAAATCAAATAATCGCATCTCGGGTCGGTCCATCGGTCGATTGTGAGATTGTGAGCTGTTTAAATTAAGTTGGTGCAAACATTGAGCTAAATTACATAAGTAGTACATATCTCGATGCGTGCAAAACCATAATGGATTTTTTAATATTCGAAAACATGTTCTAAAGAATTGTTCGGATTAGTTCCAGCCGCCAAATTTCACGAACGCACATCGCATCAAAATCCCGATACCATCCTCACCATCTGAATGCTTGTCGGTCCACTAATGTACGTTTTACTAGGAGTTTTCTTCCTCGTACAATTTCTCTGTGGAATTGTTTAACATCGGGGACTTTTCCGACTTAAGGACCTTCAATAAAAGAGCTTACTCCTTTCTAAAAGGCCGGCAACGCATCTGTAATTCCCCTGGTGTTGCGGTTGATCATGGGCGGCGGTAGTCACTTACCATCAGATGAGCCGCATGCTCGTTTGCCCCCTCTTCTATAAAAAAAATGAACAAGATAAATATACAAACATTTTTGTATAAATATATCGTAAGCTCATAGTATGAGGTAGGTATACCTATACCTACATAATGTTTACGTAAATGTCAAATAGAAACATGATGTAATGATAAAGGTGACCAACCGTTCTGGATGGAGCCATGGATATTTTAAATAAAGTTCCCTTCCACATTTATGACAATACCTTGCTCTATAGCTTTGCGACTTTGCTAACAGCGCCTTTTTTAAATATAATATTAGAAAAGGTCGCTGTCAGCTGTAACAATCTCAGATTTAGTATCAAATGTAACGATAATACATTTAAATTCTTATTATATAATGATAATATCTGAAAGATAAAACCCCGATAAAATGGTTGAACAATCGTTGTTGCTTTTGCGAACAGGAGGCGTGGCCGTGACGCGTTTTGCGTCAGTGTTGCGTAATCAGAAATAAATATTGATTTTAACTCCCATTTACCCCACTTTGGAAAACATAAGAAACGACGGTCAACAGAACCGCCTGTAAATTTAATAACATCACAAACAATCTGAACACATTGAAGTCACGTTTTCGCAGACTTACAGTAAATATAAATGTTGAATGATTACGTCATACTTGCCTAGGTACTTGTTGATCATGTCACCTGACTCCTGACTGTTGAATATATTAGGTGAACACACACACACCTCATCGCACGGTAATTTCTCATAAACATTGACACGAAAGTTTTAATACTGATATTTATAAATATAGAAGGCAAAACAAGTATTAATAAAATCTATTGCACAAACGTCAAATTAAAATAGTTTTGAATTTAAACATCAGTATCGAGTATGCTGAATATGAGGGTGTGGTCAGTGTTAAAATTTATCCTAACTTAAGTCAAAAGATCTCAAAATACCTACCAAAGAGTATATAATCACTCTGTTCTATAGGTATATACTATTACTCAAACCTTTATGTGTGAAAGATTTAAAAATAAACTGACGTTCACACTTACACACCTCCCATTCTTCTAATAATATAACATACACATGCCAGTTACATAAAGGCGAACTGAATAATTCAACTCTTTTACTAAAATAGATGAACAGAATTTCTATTTTGCTAACAAAAATTCGCTGAACGAAATCGGGGCTATGCACAAATTTAGAACAAAAGTAAAAAAGGCATTTAATTATAATGTTGCATATTATATTTCGTATATTATTAGAAAGTTTCGAATTACTGATTTGTTATTTGAAATTATCTTGTCGATATTAACACATTATTATTATATAAAAAGTAAAGATATTTAGAGTACAGGCAAGTCTATTAAAACTTTAGATTTATATTTTACAAATAATGGCGGTGTAAGAATATCCACTACTCAAATCTTTCCACAGATGTCGTAAGAGGCGACAGAGAAAAAATTAAACAGGAGGGGGGGCAGCATCATTTTCCTGATTTAAAACAATAAAAACTGCAGTTGCCATGCCGCGTGCCAAGCTTAGCGACTATGACAAAATCCAACAAGATATTCTGGTAATGGATGGATGATATTTCAGTCGATTGAATTTAAATTTAAATTTTATCTATTGGACAGAATTTTCTTAACAAAATTAATAAAAATTGTTATGAAAAGATGTATTTAGCAACGATGACGAAACCAATCTTATTATCTTGATGACTTATTTTACTATACAAAATAATTTAATATGTACTAATTATGAATGGCTTCGTAGTACGGGTAACACTTAGTACGGCCGATTACATATGACCACAATTGGTCAAAATGGTCTCGTCGATATTTAATATTTTGAACCCAGCAACGTATATCAAGTTAGAAAGATTTCGTCTCAATGAGGGATATCCAGAATCATAATTTGCGTACCAAAAACCCCGTGGTAGAGCCACGCTGCAGCTATATTATGGTTGTAGCACGAATGGTTCAGCTCGGACGGGGTAAGACCACGCCCTCACAGGATATAAGCGTATAACACAGCTTAATGCTGCTGTGTTTTGAATGTTAAGTGTAGAGAACCGGAAATCCTTTTACTGGCAACGAGGTATTCCACCTTACTCCTTAATGATGACAACTGACAACGCATGTGCATTTTAATTCTTAATTAAGGTATATAGCACATGCGCCGTGGTAGCTCAGATGGTTAACGCTCGCTGTAAATATAACAAAACGCGAGTAACCCGTGTTCGATCCCCGCCGGAACCAATGAAATTGTTAATTGCGGTTTTAAGTGCTGATTTACCACGTGCTCGGCGGTGAAGGAAAACATCGTGAGAAAACCTGCATGTCAGAGGAATAAGAAAAAAATATATTTCGAAGACATGTGAAGTTCGCCAAGAAGCATTGGGGCAGCGCGGCGGACACTTCCTTGCCCTAAAACCCTCCCATAAATGAGGGGAGGCCTGTGCCCAGCCGTGGAACGTATATAGGCTGTAACTTTACTAACTTTAAGTTATATAGATGTCAATGGACCACGGCATCCACTTACCATCATGCGGACTCTGTGTCTTTCGTCTACCTTTATTCTATTAAAAAAGCTCTATAAATTAAACTACTTGTCTAAGAGGTTTAGGAGGATAAAGGTGACATAATCTAAATAAAATTCATAAAACAATGACTCGTTATTTTAGGAATACTATACTAATTTTGGAAAGTACAATTTTGCAGTTGTTCCAAATTAATGTATACAAATCGCCAGTGCGACTGTGAAATTCTACTTACTTGGGAATCGTGTTTGGCGACCTTTTTAAGTTTGATGTCCGACTTAATGTATTGTGCAATGTCAGTATGTAGTAATAATATATTATGCATATTCTTTGATATCAGAATCGATCATAGGTTGATGTATTTGTTACATTAATATCTTATTTTAGATTACAAAATTTAATCATAATGAAAAAGCATAATGCAGTTACCGAGTGATACAATTCCTGTTAGTTACACAATCGCTCGAATTATTATAATTAAACTCGATTTATAATCTTTGAATAATTATTAATTTGTAATGTTGTCCCATAGGTATTCGATTCTCAACGGACGTGACGAGGGACGAAGTGAAGGCGCTGTCTGCCTTAATGACCTTCAAATGCGCCTGTGTGGATGTTCCCTTCGGTGGCGCTAAAGCTGGCATTAAGATCAACCCTAAGGAATATTCCGAACATGAGCTGGAGAAGATCACCCGTCGTTTTGCACTCGAGCTCGCTAAAAAGGGATTTATCGGTAAGGATATTTAACTAATAATCAAGTTAATTAAATCGAGCTGTCAAATTTCACGGTCGCACATCGCTTAAAAATTCACGATACTACCCTCACCATCTGGATTCTTGGCGGTCCACCACTGTGAGTTTCACTAGGGGTTATCTTCGTCATACAACTTCTCTGTGGAATTGCTTACCACCGGCCATTTTTTCAGACCGGTACGACTTAGGGACCTTCAAGAAAAGAGTTACTCCCTTCTAAAAGAGTAGTTAGTTAGTACCAGTTCTGGCTCACTGATTCAGAAGTGGTACAACGTTCGTCGAGACTCACGATCCTTAAAAAAAAAGGGTTGCTCTGATCACGAATCTGCAGTCCGTTTTTGCGTAGGATGCACGGTTCCGGAGATGTGCAGATCAATTAACTCTTATCTAATTGATATCCGGTGAGGGCCTGCACCGTCATTAGCGCTCCATTGTTCTTATCTATTTATACATTGGTCATTGAATACCGTCATTGTCAATTCGTGCGTCGGATTATCAGTGCTATTATATTATACTCCTTTGTTCCTAACTGCAACGGTAATCTGAATCATCAATAAAATACATTACCTAATTTTGTTAAAATTTTTATTTACAAAATACAAAATCTTATTACTTATTATCTATAAAATAGGAGCGAAACATCTCATCCACTAAAATATCGTTGTACAATGTGTTCCCTGTAAATATACTCGTAAAACTATGCATTGAACATCCCTGAAACTTATATAGCAAATACATTAAGCAATACTCGCCACAAACTGAAGTCCACTCATTCTGAATCCTATCAACATTCCAGTTCCATCTTTTTACAATTCCTTTTTAAAAACTCTAGATGATATCGTACAGGTGCTCGTCCATATGAATCAAAATATTGACCGACGTCATTCGTATCGATATATAAAGCTGCCCAATGTGACCCTGGTTTATCATCTGTATCCAATTTGCATATTATATACGTTGGTACGTGGGTGTACATAAGCAGTCTATTGGCAGCATAAACATTATTTTCTAGACTGGGGTGAATCTTTTTCAGATGTTGTTTTTTTCAGATATTGTTGTACATCTAGTGTATCCATGATATTACTGCTATTAGTATATTATTACAGTACAATCTACTCAATGACTAACATAGGAATGATCAATTATAGTGATTTCTAAATATTAAATTGCATTATTTTGTGTTATACAAAACGTATTTGAGTCATCAATACACTGAACAAGACGCAACACGAAGTAATGCTGAGATAAGCAACAGAATGTGAGATAAGCTTGTTGACGCATAAAGTTACTATCAATTCCACTGCAGAAATTCTTTAGATTAGAATTATTACTTACTGGTACTATATAAGACCAAGCATGTGCAGTCATGGAGTTAGTGTATGGTCGTTTGACCGCAGTGGATCTATCAATACTACATTTGTGTTACTTCAACGCATCAAAGGCCATGGTTGTAAGTGTTTATTCTATTGACAAGCTTACTTTTCTTTCTGTTATTTCCTTACGTGTGTATGATTTAGTGTTAACAAATTATATTTAAATATTGTGTGTATATGATTAAGCCGTGGTGGCTCAGATGGTTAGCGCAAGCTGTAAATGTCACAGTACGCGACCCGGGTTCGATTCCCGCCGGCACCAATTAAATTGTTAATTGCAATTTTAAGTGTTTATTCTATTGACAAACTTACTTTTCTTTCTGTTATTTTCTTACGTTTGTATGATTTAGTGTTAACAAATTATATTTAAATATTGTGTGAATACTAGAGTAGTTAAAAAATACTTTTTTAACAATGACAGTCATTAGTTGATCATTAGTGAATGTGATTCTGTTTACTTAAATTACAGGAAGACAAGAGCAGAAGGAAGAAATGGGATGATGGGAAGTAATGAAGCATTGTTATGGAAGTTTGTTGGAACAAACATATTTTTAGTCACGTGTAAATACTTTTAACATTTTTGTTCAAAATGACACAAAATCTAAAAAAATATTAGATACATCATCGACATGGACGGATTTTACATTACATATCCTCATAAACATTTTCAATGTAGAGAAATGGCTATTCTAGACGTAAAACAATCTAATAAAAATGATGCGTTTATCGATCATTATTTGTTGCCAAGTTATCCTTTGAATTATTTGTCGCCAAAAGACAAAAAAAAACTATTCGTTATTGTGAAACACACGTGCACGGCATTCCATATTTTGATGTGACCGAAGAATTAAAATGTGCCTACAAACAAGAGAACATCATCCCCATATTAAATTGGTATATTAGAAATTTGTGCAAAGACGAAGTGATCGCATACAAAGGTGGTTCAACAGAAAAACAATTTTTAAAAATGTTGACGACGAATGATAGAATTTTTAATATTGAAGAATACAAATGTCCAAAATACAATGATTTGGTAAATGTCATAAATTTAAACAATCTTTATGTTTGTAATAATCATATATTTGCAAAAAATAATCACAAAATTTTACATTGTTCTTGTGACGAAGTGTGGGTTTTTTACAAGTGGTTATTGCTTGAAAATAAAATTTTAAATTAATCATAAATTTTGTTTGATTTCCCAAAAACATTAGTTATAGTACACAATATATATTAATTGTTTACACCAACACTTTCATTTTTTATTTCACCCCTTAGAAATTTAGACGTGTGTAATATTTCACTTTATACATCCGTTTACTGTTATTGTGGCAGGACCAAGTGGATGTGGGAAGTCAAATTTTGTAACAAATTTCATAAAATGTTACAGAAATATGTAATTGTGATTTTAATAGATGGTGCTTTGATGAAATGCAACCTTTATATAATTTACCAAATGTTACTGTACTATCATCAAGGAATTCCAAATCTTAATATGTTTGATGGTGAAAACCCACATCTCATTATTGATGATCTAATGAGAGAGTCCGATGTAACTTTAAACTCGAACAGTGTTTTGTTTTAGATTAAATAGAAGATTTATAAAGAAATAAAAAATAATATATTGCATACAATTTGTTTTATTTAATTTTATAACGTTTCACATAGTTAGGTACACACAAAATGCATTACGCATAACACATAAAATACCTACCACGGCTTAAACATATACACACACACAATATTTAAATATAATTTGTTAACACTAAATCATACACACGTAAGAAAATAACAGAAAGAAAAGTAAGCTGTCAATAGAATAAACACTTACAACCATGGCCTTTGATGCGTTGAAGTAACACAAATGTGGTATTGATAGATCCACCGCGGTCAAACGACCATACACTAACTCCATGACTGCACTTGCTTGGTCTTATATAGTACCAGTAAGTCTAATAAATAATTCTAATCTAAAGAATTTCTGCAGTGGAATTGATAGTAACTTTATGCGTCAACAACCTTATCTCACATTCTGTTGCTTATCTCAGCATTACTTCGTGTTGCGTCTTGTTCAGTGTATTGATGACTCAAGTACGTTCTGTATAACACAAAATAATGCAATTTAATATTTAGAAATCACTATAATTGATCATTCCTATGTTAGTCATTGAGTAGATTGTACTGTAATAATCTACTAATAGCAGTAATATCATGGATACACTAGATGTACAACATCTGAAAAAACAACATCTGAAAAAGATTCACCCCTGTCTGGAAAATAATGTTTATGCTGCCAATAGACTGCCCATGTACACCCACGTACCAACGTATATAATATGCAATTTAGATACAGATGATAAACCAGGGTCACATTGGGCAGCTTTATTTATCGATACGAATGACGTCGGTCAATATTTTGATTCATATGGACGAGCACCTGTACGATATCATCTAGAATTTTTAAAAAGGAATTGTAAAAGATGGAACTGGAATGTTGACAGGATTCAGAATGAGTGGACTTCAGTTTGTGGCGAATATTGCTTAATGTATTTGGTATATAAGTTTCAGGGATGTTCAATGCATAGTTTTACGAGTATATTTACAGGGAACACATTGTACAACGATATTTTAGTGGATGAGATGTTTCGCTCCTATTTTATAGATAATAAGTAATAAGATTTTGTATTTTGTAAATAAAAATTTTAACAAAATTAGGTAATGTATTCTATTGATGATTCATATTACCGTTGCAGTTAGGAACAAAGGAGTATAATATAATAGCACTGATAATCCGACGCACGAATTGACAATGACGGTATTCAATGAACAATAGATAAATAGATAAGAACAATGAAGCGCTAATGACGGTGGAGGCCCTCACCGGATATCAATTAGATAAGAGTTAATTGATCTGCACATCTCTGGAATCGTGCATCCTACGCAAAAATGGACCGCAGATTCTTGATCAGAGCATGCCAAAACCTTTTTTTTAGGATCGTGAGTCGACGAACGTTGTACTTGTACCACTTCTGACTCAGTGAGCCAGAACTGGTACTAACTAACTACTTAAAAGGCCGGCAACGCATCTGCAATTCCCGTGGTGCAATCGTGGAACAATTGCAGTTCATGGGCAGCGGTAGTCAGTTATCATCAGGTGTCGGGCATGTCTGTCCCATATTCTATGAGAAAAAAAGTTTCAATCCGGGTGCCCACTTGCTTCGAAATTCACTTAGTAAGAACAGTGTGAATGCTAATTTTATATATCTTGATTAAAAGCTCGATAGTGGAATAAACATTGAGATGGTATTTTCCCATGATTTATATTTATATTGTATACATGATTTAGATTAATAAACAACAATCAGATTATAATTTAGTTACTTGATTACATAATAAGATTTGCGATAGTATTATTATCCATTGAGTCTATCGCTTTCACCTTGTCGACGTTATCAATCATGATTTGAGTATCAAATTCAAATCATGATTGATTTTCATATTTTTAGAAATATCTAGTGCAGGAAGTGTATTGACAGCTTGGTAGGGCTATGGAGAAACGTTTGACTTGAACGCTAGATATGACCTTAAAACAATTGTTTCGGGTCTGATTAATTTATTCGTGCGTAACACATCGTTTAGCTGTAACTAACCTTGTTGCATAATTTCTCATATCATTTATTACAGTCCATAACAAAGCTACTCCTGTACATAGACCTCTCCTACAGATTACTTCATAGGGGGAATTTGTCAACCCACGGGATGATATGGGGTGGTGGTTTTCACTTCATTCACTACACGAAATTTAAGATGTTTTTTTTTTAAATAAAATAAGAGTGACTAAAGAGCACACAGTCCACCCGATGTTAAGTGGATGTTGTGGCCCATGGACATCCAAATCTATAGTGTTAGTGTAAAAATAGACGATAGCTATTTTTACACTCACCATACGAAACACAGCAGCATTAAACTGCTATTTTACGCTAGAATTCTGTGAGAGCGTGGTTCTTACCGATGCATACGTGCTACAACAATAGCAGCAGTGGCATAGCTTTACCCCGTATAAACTTTTACGTTTATACTTCAAAAACCATGCCCTAGTCTTGTAAAACTCTTTTTTTAATCAAGGTATAATAAACTAAGAAATTCACAGATATGTTTTTTTTTGTGGTTTATCATCATCATTACAGCCCATCACCAGTCCACTACTGAACCTCTGCCACCTCCACCTGCATCTATGGACTATTTACATGTTTTACCTTTTCGTCACTCCATTTTGTCGCTGTTGTTGTGGATTATCGCTGACCACTCCACGCTTCGCTTGCCGGTACGAAGCTGCCTCCTTTCTTTATTTCCCATCAGTTGTTACTAAGGCCCGCCACATACATTTGGAATTCCGTTTCGGGATTCCGAATGCAGCAAGTCCATATAAAATCAGTGATCCGTCACTTACTCACGGTAGTTTTCCGTGCGGAATTTTGCAGGCAAACGGGATTCCGTATGTGTGTGGCCGACCCGTTCGTTCCATTTCGGAATTCCGAATTCCGTATGTAGTGTGGGGCCTAAGGAAGGGAGAGGTTATACTGTCCTAATGCCTATTGAGGCAGACGCACTTGTAACTGTGCATGGAACACTCGCACACAAGGTGTGAGTGTGTTACGTGTCGTAACGAGCATAACGAAAACTTTCAAATAAGCAGACGAAAGAGAGAGAAGGAAATAATTGGGCGTCTGGACAACAGATATAGTGGCACAAGTATACGTTCCCATACTCAAAGGCCTTAGGACCGCCACATATATAGGGAATTTTGTTTCGGAATTCCGATTTGGGATTCCGAACGGAGCAAGTCCATATACAAACAAGGACCCGTCGCACACCTACGGTAGTTTTCCGTTTGAAATTTTGTGGGCAAAACGTGATTACGTTATGTGTGTGGCCGATCTGTTCGTTCCGTTACGGAATAATTTTCCTCCGCACATGCTTATCCGATAATGCCGTAGGCTAAGACGCAGTGTCAGAGACACGACGCAAACAATAGACACAACATTTGTGTTTTGCACAAATTGGAATTTTAACCAAGGATCCGCGGCGTAATAATTTGACCTGACGGGTAATCTGACATCGCATCAATCAATTCAATTAAAATACGTCACTATCATGATAACTAAAAATAATTGGCAACTCAGGGCCCGGCGTGGATGTCCCTGCTCCTGACATGGGAACAGGCGAACGTGAGATGTCCTGGATAGCAGACACGTACGCCAAGACCATCGGTTACAAAGATATCAACGCTCACGCTTGTGTCACCGGGAAACCAATTAATCAGGTATGGATGCTTAAGTTCGTTCCTTATGTTTTATGGTCAAGGTATTGCTGCAGCAATACCTTGACCAAACGTTGGAAGTTTTACAACTCAGGACTTCAGGAGTTCTCGATTTTTTTACTATAGTTTAAAATTCTTTTATTTACTAAAACTAGATGTTAGGAATGTATTTCTCTCTAGTTGTCCGTTTTGAGAGAAAGATTACAATCTTACTTAATTCGTCAAGCTGCAGTGTTCTTTCTTTTTCTTTCTGTTCTTTTATATAATTACAATAGCAGCTTGATAGCGTAATAGTTAATGGTGGTGCTTCGATCCGCGGAGTTCAAATCTCGCATGGAAAAACTATTTGTTTGAATCACAAATAATCCTTATGGGTCTTGATGTATCCATGTGCAATTTATGTACGTGAAACGAAATTTTCAGTGTGGAACTAGTTAGTTAGAGTTCTAAAAACAATGACATTCATATCCTGCCATAAGGTGGACTTTTATCACTGTAACATGTTAAATAATCACAGAATAATCAGGATTTCGACATACGTGTCTTTACCTCGGTGCTTATATCAGACTGATTGAGAGTGCGGCTAAGTAAGCTGTCGAAGTATTAACGTAGAGATTTCAGTAAGTAAAAACAGGTTTAACAACAGAGGAACTTTTTGTATCAACGTAATGTCCAATCAGTTTGCTGTTTTTGTTAATAGTGACAATGGCTCAAGGCCAATCTTAACTAACTAGTTTCTTTGCTGTAGAGACAATAAAATATAACAGTCTAATTAAACTGATAATAATAATAATATTTTTCTAAGTTGTTTTTTTTTTGTTTTTCTTTTTAATAAAAATAAAATAAATTAGCGCAGGGAAGTGACGACCCCATCGCCCGCTGACGTAACGGTTATGTGACAAAACCGCTACGTCAGCGCAGTCAGCACCTTGCCAAGAGGTGTTAGTGCCGTGCTTCGGCAAAAATTGAGTGGTGGTGGTGGATTGGAGGTGCCAAGGCCCGCTTGTGCACATGGCCTCACCATAAAACGGCGCCGGGTCCGGGCGTCTCCCGCTAAATGACGCCCACTTTTAATGGATGATGGAATATGCAAAATAAACGGGCAAAGGGCCGCTGCCTGGAGGTCGCCAGGGCGCGGCTGGAGCGGGCGCGGGACGCGACAGCACGCGAACCGCCAGCCGAGCGAGAGGTGCTGCACGACCACCCAGCAGCCCCTCGCATCCATCATCTACACCAGCTAGCTTGGTGTCGGCAGGGTCTTCGCGGGCCCAGCAATCGGCACCCGTCTCTGGTGGAGTACGCCGCATGCGATGGACAACCCAAATGAATAGTAACGCATTGCGGGCGTATTTTGGGGCGAAAGGGGGAGAAGTTGGAGGTTTGGCGTATCGGGCTAGGATGCATCGTCTTTTTGCTGAGCTGGAGCCATTTTTAACCGTCTCAGAGCAAAACCTGGCAGATCGGGTTCGGTATATCTTGCGCTCAAATACATTTGATGTTGCCGAACTCGAACGGCTGCGACGTGAGGCTGTTCCCTCATTGGGTGAAAATGCTGCGGCTGAGGATGCGGTGCCACAACTTGCAGAGCCACCCGCAAATGTGGATGCCGCCGTGAATACCCCAGTTGTGGTTGATTCAGACGATGATGGAACAGTCGCCCAGGAACTGGAACTAGAGCATATGAGGAGTACATTGGAAGAGGCGATTGTTGTAACGCGCAGTACGCCTCTCGAAAATCGACTGCGACTTCCCCCGCATAGCCCTGAGCAAGCGGAATCGGGCTGTCGTGAGGGCTCTGAACCCAATGCTGGTGACCTATTTGGAAGCCAGCCGGGACCTTTGCGAGACGGACTCAATTCTTTTTGGCGCCGCACTGGCAGTGTGCCGTATTATAGGCGCCAAACTTTCCACGGCTGGACGCGCTACTGGACAAAGTAGCGCTATCCCAGCCTGGAGAATAAGAATTGAAGAACGTATCGCAAAGGCTAGGGCCCTCATCGGCAGACTGACATGCTTCAGGTCAGGCAACACCAGCCCAAGGATTGTGCGCACCGTCAGGATGGCGTTTGCTGAGATAAATGTTAGTTTGTCCCAGCCGGATATAATGCAAAAACTGACGGAGCGCATAGACGACCTGAAGCAGAGAATCGCTGCTTGGGGAAAGCGGATTCGGTCGATATACCGAGAGGTCGACACGGTTTAACCAGAATCGTCTCTTCCAGAGTGATCAGAAGAGGCTCTATAAATCGTTGGAGCGACCAATGGTAAGTGGAACGGGCCCAGCACCGAATCAGACCGACACTGTCGCATTCTGGCGCAGCCTGTGGTCAGAGCCCGTAAACCACAGCGAGGGCCCTTGGACGGAAGTTGTGGCGAGTCAGTGTGCGAGTATAACGCCCATGGACCCCGTCATTATAACGCCGGATGACGTAGCTGAGGCGGTCCGTAGGGCCCCGAAATGAAAAAGTCCGGGGCTCGACGGGCTGCATCACTACTGGCTGAAGGGGTTCGTGGTGTGTCACGTTGTGCTCGCCCAACAGTTTCAAGAGGCTCTCAACCAGAAGTCGCTCCCGAGCCTCTTCACTACTGGGATTACTCATTTGGTTCCTAAGGACCAAGTTACCACAGACCCGAGCAAATACCGCCCCATCACCTGTCTGCCGACCATATACAAGACACTGACATCCATTTTGAGCGCGAGAATCGCTCGTCACCTGGACTCAAATCAGGTGATGTCGCGCGCTCAAAATGGATGTAGGGGCGGCGGTCGTGGAACCAAGGAACCACTTCTCATTGACGCGGTCATTAGCAAAGTGGTGAAACGCAACCGTCGGAACTTCTCCGCCGCCTGGATAGACTACAGAAAGGCATTTGACTCGGTGCCCCATTCATGGCTAAAGAGGGTCCTCGAGCTGTACAAGATTGACTGTACAGTTCGAGACTTCCTCGAGCAGTGTATGGGGCAGTGGAGTACGATCCTCTGTCATCTAGGCGAGCGGATGACGGCTGCGGAAAGCCGCATAAGGATAAGAAGGGGTATATTTTCCAGGGCGACTGTCTGAGTCCAATCTGGTTCTGCCTCTCTTTGAACCCTCTCAGTACTTTACTGGAGGGCTTCGGGAGGGGATTTCAGCTTCGGAAAGAAGGTACAAAAGTGACCCACCTTTTCTATATGGATGACCTCAAATTATTCGCCTCCAGTCGCTCACATCTTATGAAATTGCTAAACATCACTTGTGAATTTAGCAATTCTATTAGAATGGAGCTGGGGACGGATAGGTGTGCGCTCCTCCATGTTGAAAGGGGAAGGGTTGCTAACTCTGAGGGCATAGACTTATCTATGCCCGTCAACTTAAGGGCCCTTTCCGAGGCTGAAACATACCGATACCTGGGTATGTCACAGAACATCGGTATCGATGAGGCTGGTATGAAACAGTCAGTTTGCGACGTGTTTTATGCACGCTTGACCAAAGTGCTTAACAGCCTTTTGTCCGTTGTGAATAAGACACATGCATATAACGGTTGGGTCATGCCTGTCCTCATGTATACCTTTGGCATACTCAGGTGGAGTCAGACTGAACTTAACGCCCTGGATAGAAAAGTCCGCACTACAATGACACGTCCCATGGGATGCATCATCCGAGATCTTCGGTAATGAGGCTGTACTTGCCGCGAAAGCATGGTGGGCGTGGCTTCCTGAGCGCGCTCACCATGCATAATCGCGAAGTGTGCAGCCTCCGTCATTACTTCCTGGCGAGATCGGATGATCCATTCTATAATGACGTTATTTCTAGTGATAAAGGACTTACCCCTCTATCCTTAGCCAACGAGCAATGGCAAGACCCGGCAGTACAGAGCATTTCCGACCGGGAGACCGTATGGAAGGAGAAGGAGCTCCACGGGAGGTACTACAGGGCTCTACATGAGCCTCACGTAGATACAGCCGCCTCCCTCAACTGGCTACGTTTCGGTGACCTCTTCGGGGAAACCGAGGGTTTTGTCTGTGCAATACAGGATCAGGTTATTAAGACCAACAACTATCGGAGATACATCCTAAAGGATGGCATTGTCGACGTCTGTCGAGCTTGGCGCCCGGTCCTTGTCTTCCGGTTGTTCGGCGCTTTCTAACTCTGAGTACTTGCACAGGCACAACCTAGTAGCCAGAATTCTACACCAGGAGCTCGCTCTGAATTGCGGTCTCGTGGATCGGAAATTGCCGTATTACAAGTACTTGCCGGAAGCCGTGCTCGAAAATGACCGCGCTAGGCTCTACTGGGACCGGGCCATCATCACAGACAGGACTATTCTTGCGAATAAGCCTGATATTGTGCTGATGGACCGGGCACAGTCAAGGATATTTTTGGTCGACATTACCATTCCGTATGACGAGAACCTTGTGAAAGCCGAAACAGAGAAACGAACAAAATATCTGGACCTGGCTCACGAGGTGACCGACATGTGGGGTGGTCTGCCGGCCGAAATTATTCCTGTAGTCGTCTCTGCGAATGGGCTAATCCCAGTCAGCCTCTCGGGTCGTCTGAGGCGACTGGGACTCCGTGACGGACCGCTCCGGGCTCAAATGCAGAAGGCGGTGCTCCTCGATACCGCCCGCATCGTCTGCCGGTTTCTTTCCCTTTCCTCCTAACCCTCGGCCGTTTGGTCTCCCCTGCCGAGGGCTTCCATCTGGTTGGGCTTTTATTTATTTATGTATTTTTGTATTTATTTTATTTTATTGATATTTATGTATATTTATAGTTTCATTTTAATTTATAATTAACCCAACCAGATGAGAAAACTATATAGATACCCCAAATAATAATAAAAAGAAGTAGGGAAGTGACGACCCCATCGCCCGCTGACGTAACGGTTATGTGACAAAACCGCTACATCAGCGCAATCAGCACCTTGCCAAGAGGTGTTAGTGCCGTGCTTCGGCAAAAATTGAGTGGTGGTGGTGGATTGGAGGTGCCAAGGCCCGCTTGTGCACGTGGCCTCACCATGAA